TTATGAGATTGCAAATAAGATTGATGTTCTTTATTTATTTCTTCTAAATCAATATCATTTTGACTAGATCCTGATGAATTCGCTGAGATATTATGACCATTATTATGTCTAGATGAAAAAAATGATTTTGGAAAAGAATTATGCTTAGAAAAAGGAGATGATGTTTCAAAATTGATTTTTTCCCACCGTTTTAATTCTTCAACTAATCTTTGATGGGACTTTGGGTGATCTAAATCACAATTTGCATTAAATATATTAACATATTCGGCATGCCTTTTTTGCATTAGAATTTTATCACCATGTGACGGTATTTTTAAATCCTTTTAAATTTATATTAGATTATTTTTATTATTGTTATTATTATTGTTATTTTGTATTCTTTAAATATATATGGATGTAATCATTACCTTTAGAATTTTTCTTAATTTTGATTCTGTCAGTAAATTATATGCCAACGATCTTAATTTTTGAGTTTTATTTTTAATCTTTGGTTTAACAATTGGATTCGAAAAAATTTTATTTTTCCATGCAGAATCATTATCGGATTTAGAAGATGACATAAAAAAGTTTAAAGAATTATTAGAAGGATCATTAAGTGGACTCTCTTTGGGACAATTCAGATCCATATGTCTGTTTAAGCGTTTAACTTGAATATTTTGTAAACAAAGTGGACATTGAACAAATTCATCATCTATCAAAATAAAAGTAAAATAAAACAAAACACATTAATATTTTACAATAAAATATTAAATTTATTTAACTTTATTAATTATATAATTTATTTTTTTAGTATCTACCACTAGGTTGTATGGATGAAAATTCATGACTAGAATTACCACTTTGATTATTATCAATTATATCAACATTGTTATTATTGTTGTTGTTGTCATTGTTATCATTATCGTTATTCCCATTATTACTAACAGATTTTGAATTAAAATCGCCATTTGAGTTTTGTTCAATATTATCATTTAAAAAGGTATCATTTTTCTCATTTGTACCAACTTGACTACTAATATCACTTAATGCAATTGTTGCCATTGTTGTATCACCATCGTCTGATAAATTTATATCTTTTGAATCTAATTCACTTTTATGATTATCTATTTTTGAATCTTGTTTTGTATCCAATACATTATTAATTCTATTATTATTATTTTTTTTTTTAAATTCTATTAATTCTAATATTATTTTTCTTTAATTTAACAATTTATATATAAAATAGCATAAATTTAATTAATACAATTTAAAATAATTCATATATATTTTTTCAAAAAAAAAAAAAAAAAAAAAAAAATAGTAATAATTTAATATTGTAAAAAGTATTCATAAAAAAAAAATCACCTATTATTTTTATAAATTTTTATTATATCATCAATTAATGAAACTTTCTGTAATTCAGTTGCGTCAGCTGAATGTCTACACATTGGGCATATATTCATTTCGGTTATAGTTTTTCTCATACAATAACTTTTTATTATATTTCAAAAATTCAAAATGAATTGTTATCCAATAACAAAATTTATATATATATTTAGTTACATTTACATAAAAATCAATATTTAAAATTAACACTTTCATACCTACAACCATAATGTTGGCAACTTGTTAAAATTAATGTTGGATTTAAAAATTCTTTACATATTGGACATCTTAATAAATTATCAAAATCTCTAAATGACCCATATTCCTCAGGAAAATCGTAAATATCTGTTAAATCAAAGTCAAACATTTTAATTATTTTTTCTTTTTTTTCTTTCTTTTTTTTTTTCAAAAAAACATCAAAAGTTTAAGATTTATTATACTTTTATTTTTAATAAAAAAAATAATTAATTATTATATTGTTGATTTTTTTATGTATAAATATTTAATTCTACTGTTTAAGATTTCTTAAAAATCAAAAATTACACATCATTTTATATTAATATTGAAAAGATAAAAAAAAAAAATGTTAATATTTTATAATTTTGCTGCGAAAAAAAAAAAATTTTTTACTTAACATTTTTTTTAAAATAGTCAAAATCAAAATTAATATAGAAAATATAATTTAATTTAATAAATTAATTCTTGATTATAAAAAAATTATTTAGCATCAGGTAAAAAAAAAATGCATTCATTGTTAAACTATTTTACATATTATTATTATTAGATTTTATTATTTTATTATTTTTATTATTTAAATACCTTGATTTTATATTCTAATAAAACATATTTTAGATAAAAATAAATGATGATATTATATTATATTATATATTAATTTAAAAAAAAAAAAATAGAATATATTTGAAATTTATGTAACAAAATCAAAATTTAGTTATTTTTATTTAATTCATTAGTTCTCTTCTTCTTAATAGCAGTTTTATATGGAGGACTAATTGGAGATTGAACTGGTTCAAGAGGTTGATAGTTATTGTTTTTCTTTTAATAAAAAATAAGAGAAAAAAAAGTTAATATTCAAAATATCTTTAAAATATAAGATTTATATAAATCAATATTTTCATATTAAAACTCTTACATCCAATGGATAAGTTTGATCACTATCAAATGAACTTAAATCACCTAGTGTTTATTGAATAAATTAGATTTAATAAGATTATTATATTTAAATTTTTATTTAATTAGTTTTTATCACTTACCAGCTGCTAAAAATGGTACTATAACTCTATTTGAACCTTCTAAATTATTATATGTTGAATTGTATGAAAAATCTAATAATGGATTTGACATATTTGGTACATAATCCTTTGGTGGTTGATAATCTTGACAAACAATGAAAGATTCTTTAATATATAATTTTTAATATTAGTATTGATATTGATACAATGTGTTCCCATTTATAAGGATTATAAAATAAATAAATAAATTTATTTCTATGAAATATTATTAATATAAATCTACCTATACTAGAGTTTCTTGAACTTCTTGGTTTACAACAAGTAACGTGTTTGAAAAATATTTTTAATTGGGCATATAATAATGTTATATCTTTTCCTCTGAAAATTTTTGCAACAAAAGTACCTCCTGGTCTTAATACATGTGTAGTAATATTTAATGCCTGTTTTATGTAATTATATATTATATTATTTTCAAATAGTAATAATCAAATAAATTCAAGATTAATAGGTATTTTTTCATTAAAATGCTGAAATTTAATACTATGGGAATTACAGCTAATAAAAGTTGAGCTTGAATATATTCATCCATATCGTGAAGACCAGTAACTTTTTTATTATTAATTTATTTTTTTAAAATTTATTTTTATTATAATTTAGTTCAAAAATATAAATAATTGTTAATTTATATTGTTAAATAAATTATAATTCAAAATTCATTATGTAAAAATAAAATAATAATTCATTTTAATTCTATATTTTACCATCTGGAGCACCATCACAAATAACTAAATCAGCATACTTTCCATCAAAATGGGAAATAATTTGTTCGGCAGTAGATTGTTTAGTAATATCACCTTGAATTTGAATAATTCCTTTTAATGGAGCCTAAATATCGAGTTTTTCATTTAAATTATTTATACATTATTTTTATTGTTAAAAACCTTTGAATATATCTTTAAATTATATTACAAAAATATATTTACCATAGCTTGTAAATCAACAGCTACAATTTTTGGTGGATCTTCTTGTCCTTCTTTAATTAATTTTCTACTTAAAACTTGACTCCAACTACCTGGAGCAGCACATAAATCAACACAATGTTTGACATTTTCAAATAAATTAAATTCTTCCTCTATATTATATATTTTTATAAAATTTAAATTTTAGTCTTACTTTATTTTGTTTTATTTTTACATAACTTCATATTTAATTTTTAAATTAAGAATTACCAATTTGAAGAAGTTTAAATGCACTTCTAGCTCTCCAACCTTGTTCTTTTGCTAATCTATAATAACGATCTAAAAATCATTTATAATATATAATAATTAAATATATAAATATTATATAATAAATAAATTATATGTTATTAATGAATTTTTCCCTTTAAAATTAGATATATATTAATATATATATTTGTAATTTATGACTTATTAATAAAATTACTAAAAAAAAAAAATACCTCTTTTATCTTTCGAAGATTTTCCCATTTTATTTTATATAAATTCAATTGGTAAAAAAAAGGTAATATTCTTCACAATTAACTTTATTTTGGTGGATAAAATAATATAACTATAATATTCTAAAATTTGATTTAAATTTTATAATATGATTGGTTGAAAAATTACTTTATATTTTATATTTTATGCTTAATAGATCATTAATTAAATTTTACTATTTGGAAAATAATTTTACTTTAAAATAAATAATCAGATTCTAATTAAACTTATATTATTTTATGCAAAAAGTTATTATTGTTGAATATATTATATACTATAAATACAATATTTATAAGTAATTTAATGATATTTTTTATAGAATAAATATTATGTTTTACTATTTATAATTCAATATATTTATTAAATAATATATTTTCAAGAAATTTATTATTTTTAATATTTTTCTCAAAATTTACAAAAATATATAACCCTTAAATATATAATATCTAAGTGTTACATGAGTAGAATTATATAACGAATGAGTGTAACTACCACCATTGAAAATATAAACTTCTAATTAGATGTTAGAATTTCTTATTATAATTTCCTATATATCTTTTAATCTTTTATTTGAAAATAGTAAGAAACATAAAAACATTAAAACCAAAAAATGAGTACATTTTTTAACTATTAAATAGAAAAAAATTTTTAATTCTATAATTTTAATTTTTAAAAAGTAACCATTAAATATAAAAAATTTATATAAAAAAATTTTTATTAAAAAAATGTTTATTTTCATAATAAAAAAAATTTCTCTTTATTGTTTAACAGATAAAGTGCATATTATTAAAGAGTGGAATGATGTAATACATTTTCATCAATTTTTTATCTATTCAAATTTCCTATTTTATATTTTTATTATTCATAAAAAAATTAGAATCAACGGCAAGGTTCTATAGTGTAATGGTCAGCACCTTGGACTCTGAATCCAATAATCCGAGTTCGAATCTCGGTAGAACCTTATTTTTAATTTTTATAAAATTTGTTGAAAAATATTAAATTATCACACAATTATTTCGTAATAATTAAAGATATTACTTAAAAAAAAAAAAAAAAAAAAATTACTATAAAAGAACAAAAATAGAATATAAAAGTAAAATAAAAATTATATTTCTAAATATAAAGATATTATAAAGTATTAAATAAATAAAAAAATGAATAGTAACATTTTAAAGACTTATGAAAACAAAGAAAATATAAGTAATACAAAAAAATAAAAATAATAAATAAAACTAAAACTCTGATTATTAATGATATTAGCTATTGTTAAAAATAATATATAAAATATATAGGAAAGTACCACAGGATAAACATTACACAATCTGAATTGCAAGAACTAATCGAAAAAACTAAATTGAAACAGGTTAACAATAAAAAAGAGAATGCTGAAAAGAAAAAAAATCTAAACATTAAAAAGAAAAATGAAAATAACAAAACCAAACTCACAGAAAAGAAAAATAATACTAATCTTTTGAATCAAAAAATCATTACAAAAAAAATGAAACCAAAAAATTTAAAATACTCAATATTAACCGAAAAACCATTAGTCCTTCTTAGAAATACAAATATAAAGTTTAATAATAAAAAAGAAAGTGAAAAAAATCAAGCATATAATGAGAATTCACAAATAAATATTGATAATAATTTAATTAATAAATATGTTAAAAAAGGAAACTTTTCAATGAAATATTCAACAAACCGTTTAAAAAATGATAAAGATTCCTCATTTGAAATTTATCCAAATAGTATTAATGAAAATAATCTATCTCCAATAAAACCAACAAATCAAATAAATATTTTAGGGAAAACAAAAATTATTGAAAGTAAAATTATTCCATTAGAAATTAATAATAAACTACCTCTTACTAGTAACTCAAAAAATAATAATATTTTCAATGAAGTTGAAAAAGAATTTAATTATGGTAAAATGCATATAAATACAAAATGTGAGGTATTTACAAATAATAAGACTGTTGATTCTTTTGAACCTCGAAATAATAATTTTGATAAAAATATATTTCAATGTGTTACAAATAATGGTGTTAAAAATAATGATGAAATAAAAACCTTTATAATTAATTCAGAAGTCGAAGATCCCTTCTTAATTATACCTTCAAACTCTAGTAGCAGATGGATAGATTTTCAACCAATACTTTCCAAAGAAGAAGAAGAATTAAGTATTACGGAAGAAGATGATGAAATATTAATATAGGACATTTTACTATCAATATTATAAATAATAATAAAAAATATATTAAATAGTAATTTTATACAATATATGAATTATAATAATAAAATTTAAATAATACATACAAAGTGTTAGAAAATAATTTAAAATCATAAAAGATATTATTAAAAAAAAAAAAAAAAAAACATTAATATTATTCTATTATAATTCAAATTCAATATTAAATATATAAAGTAAAAAAAGAATTCTTTTTTTTTAAATGTACATTTTTTTCTTCCTTTATTGGTCATATCACGTGATATGTATAATTCAATAATCAATTTAATTTATTACTAAATTATTAGAATATGCATATATTTAAAGACAATTTGGAGAAGATAGGGGGAGTATATAATAGTGTAATTTTAATTATATAATTACAAATAATATATTATTAATCTACCTATTGGTACAGTTTAATATAAAATTATTCTCTTTATTTAATCAATTAAAAAGAAGTGTACTTTATAATTTAATATGCAATATATATTATATATGTTTCAAAAACTTTATTATTAAATGAAAAGGCAAATAATTTATAATTTTCACTTTTTGAATATTCTTTTGTTAGCACAAAAATATTTTTATTGAGATTAACAAATTATATATATTATATATATTATTTTTATTAACGAATTATAATTATTATTTCCTTTCAATAATAAAAAGTATATAATAATAATTTATTTATTATATATATAATTATAAATTTAAATATTCATCCACTATTACATTTTTATTTAATTATGCAATGTAGAATAATTGTTTTTTTTTTTTTTTTTTTTTTTTCTAAAAAATTAAAAAGTCAAAAAATAAATAAAAAAAATAATTCAAATTATGAATTTTATATATATTAAATATTAAATAGATTTGAATAATAATAATAATAATAACAACAATAATAATTTATTATAATATAATACATATTAATAATAACATCAAAAATAAAACGAAATAAATTTTTAAAGTTATACTATTATTATTGATAAAATGAATAATAGTGTATTGTCTATATATTTTACAAAGGATTCTCTTATCCATGTTTTAAAATCATTTATATTATTTCCATTAATAATAGCTATTATTTTATACTTAATTTATTATTTTAATGTACGAATAACAAAAAAACGTTTCCCAAAATGGATGAAGAAACTTAAAAGAGATAAAATTCCAAAAAAAATAGAACATCGTTGGGAGCTTAACTCTTTTACTGATAATGCTACATTTTGCAATCATTGTAATATAATTATTGTTCAAGGTCTTATTTGTAGTATTTGTCAGAGAACATGTCATCTTGATCATCTTAAAGAGGTTGATGCTCTAGATTGTAAATGTGGTTGTTATATTAGCCCAAATTTACCTAAGGTAGATTCATACATAAGTAATAGTAGTAATGCAAAATGGTATCAAAAAGGATTAATAAAAAGAGGTTAGGAATAATATAAATTTTAAAAATAAAAATTACATTTAAAAATAAATTTAATTAAATTTTTTGTGTCTTATATAATTAAAAAAAATAATGTAAATAGGAAGTAGTTGGATTTCAAAAACAAGTAAAAGAAATACAAAAACTGAAATAAAACTTGGAAATATAGAGAATAATCAAAATAGAAATGAAAATATTGTAGAAATAAAAGAAAATATAGTCGATAATAGTAATATTGATAATAGCCTTAAAAAAAGAGGTAGTACATCACTTGATAAAATTATTGAAGATAATGAATATGCTACAAACATAGTAAAAACACCATTAGTTGCTGAGAGAAAGCTATCAAAAAATAAAAATAAATTAATTAGAGAAATGTCAAAGAAAGAAGAAGAATTATTAAAAGAAGTTTTAAAACATCCACAAAGAGAAGAATCTGTTGTTTATCCAAATGAAGAAGTAAATAAAACTGAATTAGATAAGACTATTTCTAATAGATCAGTTTTATTAAAGGGTTCTAGTTATTATAGTATAAATAAGAGAGGAGAGAACTTAGTAGCCGAACCTTCTTCATATGACGATTTTGGTGAAGTATATGACCCATACTCAAGTATTTTAAAGGATAGTGAAACAGGAAAATATAATCATCAATGGGTCAAATACAAAACCCAATCACCATATTTCTGTCAAGTATGTAATAAGCGTATTTCAAATGGACCATTTGATTTCGATTATCATTGTGTCTGGTAATATATATAATTTATTTATAAATTAGTAATCTTTATTAATAAATAATGACTAAATTTCCACTTTTTTAAATATAATATTAAAAATATATAAAATCAATAATCTGGAAATAAAAAAAATTAAAATATAAAGGTGTCAAATATGTGTACACAAGAAATGTATAGAAAAATATTCTAATCAATGTTATTTAAGTATTATACCTGAAATTGTTATGCCACCTCATTATATATCTTTATGTAATAGAAAAAAGAAGACACGTGATGAAGTTGTTCCAAAATATAATATATCAGCATTAGAAGGTGATGATTTGATTACTAAAAGACCATTAATTTGTGTAATTAATCCAAAATCTGGTGAAGGTGCCACAAATATAACAAGAGAAATGTATTCATTACTAAATCCAGTGCAAATTTGTGATATTACATATGATAATCCAGAAGAAGTTATTTTGTCATTTATAAAGTGCTATTCAAACTGTAGAATTATTGCTTGTGGTGGTGATGGTACAGTTAGTTGGATGAATTCCATTTTTGATAAGTTTTTAAAGGAAAAATTACTAACTAGAGATGAAGTACCACCAATTGGTGTTATTCCATTAGGTACAGGAAATGATTTATCAAGAGTTTTAGGTTGGGGCGGTGGTTATGAAGGTGAGAATGCAATTAAATTATTTAGAGATTTAACTTTTGATTCTGAAGTAATTGAAATGGATAGATGGAAAGTTGAAGTTATTCCAGATAAGAGTTTCTTACAAAAATTAAAACTTAAACAAGGACCAAAAACTATTATCATGAATAATTATTTCAGTATTGGTTCTGATGCTAACATTGCCTACGCCTTCCACACTACAAGAAAAGAACACCCATCATTATTCAAAAGCAGAGTCGTTAATAAAATATGGTATTTCTCTCTTGGTGGTGTAGAATACTTTAAGAGTATTTATAATAATGCTGCTGGACATATTGTAGGTCTATTCAGACATAAGAATAATGATAGTGACAATTATTCAAATGAATCAAAAAAGATATTAAATAACAGTGACACTTTATTAAATCTTAATCCTGAAAATAGTGAAGATAATTATTCCTTTATTTCTGATAATACTACAAATAATGGAAATAACGATGACAAAATATCAATTGCTAGTAATTCAAAATCAAGGAGAAAATCAAAGAAAGGCAAGGGTAATAATAGCACTTCACAAAAATATAAGAATAAAGAAATTAGTGATGCTGTTACTGTAGATTCAGATTCTTTAAGTATTAATGATAAGAAATCAATCCAAAGTAGTATAAAAACAAATGATTTTAGCAGTTTTGATGATGTTGTCGAACTTGAATTAGATGGAAAACAAATTGACGTAAATAATCTCTCAGGTATTATTATTATGAATATAAATAGTTACGGTGGAGGTTCAAAATTCTTCCAAAAAGAAGGTGATGGTGACAGCGGTATATTGCCATTAATTAAAAATGCTTTTAATAGTCAAGATTATCCAGATTATTCATGTAATGATCATCAATTAGAAGTTGTTGGTGTCTTTTCCGCATTACATGCTGGT